GAACAAGTTAGCAGTTTGAGGAAGCCATCTTAGAGACACCAAAGGATGAACATGTCAAGAGACATCCCAAACGGGTAAAATTTCACTATGGGGGAAAGTATACCTAACTGATTCAAAGATGATATAAAGATAACAGAGGTACAGGATCCGGGCGATGTTCAGATAATGGGTGGTAATGTCTAATATTTGTTAGACGAGTTGATGGAACATCATGAATGAAAAAGCCCGAAAAATGGCTTAGTCCTATAGAACTTTCTGAAGCCCAAACGGCAATTCAAATGGCAATAAACACAAGGAGTTCAAGTCCTACAAAATTGTCGGAGGCCCGAACGGCAATACAAAGAATGATCAAAAAAGTGAGAATTAGGAAAACCGCTAAGTCCTATGATACGGACCGATTCTCGAATGGTAAAGCAAAAAGTTGATAAAGACAAGAAAGACAATAAGTAAAGCGTTGAGAAAAAAAGATTTTAAATATATTCATCGGCTCTACTGGACGGGAAGTACAAAGGTGATTTGCAAAAAAGGAAAAGGGGGGAAGGAATTACAATTACTAAAGTATTGAAGTCTAAATCTACTGGCCAGAGGCCTCTTTGTTTTCTTCTTCATCACCTTCATCCTCATCTGAATCAGTAGGGGGTTCAAGCTCTCTCCCCGCTTCGCGATCAGCGGCCCATTGTAGGTCCCTTTGGTATTTCTCAAATTGGGCCTCAATGATGGGGACCGAGGGAAGATCGGCAAGCTCGACCGGCCTCCCTAGCATTTCTTGAAGCTTGGCCACAAAGGGGGCCAGGATATGCTGGCAACCCATAACATAGAGAGATTGGGCCAGGGAGTCATTGACTTTTTTACCCCTTGGATCCCGATCGAGCAGCTTCACCCCTTCTGTACGGCGAGCATCACCCTTGGGGAATTGGTCAAGGTAAGCACCAAAAGTGGCCGGGAGCTCCTGCTGCGCATAATCCTTGTTGAGGGCAGTAAACTCCTCAGAAGATTTGAATGCCTCCCGAACCGCGGACAGGTCAACATTCACCTCAGCAGGGCATCCGGGATACGTGGAGCTGTTTCTGTGAACCTAACCTGAACGGCCTCAGCCGCAGATACTTTAGCCTGGACAGTGGCTAGTTGAACTCGAACCCCCCCCACCTCATTGTCAAACTTATGCCTCTCCTCGGCAAAAGCTTTCCGTTCAGCCTCCAACGTTGCAAGAGCAGCGGCAACATTCTGTTCGGCGGAAGTCTAAGCAACAATCAACTCCCGCTCTTTGGCTAGCCGGGCATCCCTCAGTTGCAAGATGTATAGCCCAACCTACAGAATTTCGTTCGAGAAATGAGATAATGTAGAGCGAAGGTTAACATATGTGACAAGTTATTGCAAAGGTTAAAAAAGTAAAGTACCCTCAAGGTCGCTAAGGCCAAACAGTCCTCTGACTGCTCGACCGACAGTTTGGGAACAGCAAAGTTGTTGAAGAATGCAGAGGTAGACCAGATTTGACTCACCGAGCAGCCAGCCTTCTCTACAACTTCATGAACGAGATCTGCTAAAGTTGATAGATTTGACTCGCCGACCAGATTTGCCAAAGTATCGGTCTCACCTGCAGTCATGTTGACATCCTGAGCAAACTGAAAGTGCTCGGAAAATTGATGCAACTGATAAGATCCGAACCGATCGTCGATCAACATTTCTTTAAACTGATCCTGATGGTGGACTTATTGAATTGGTTGTGGCTCCTGAACGGGTTGAGAAGACCCGGCCGGCATCTTGATCAGTGGTGATGGAGGGATTAGGCTTGGGATTCTTCTTTGCCTTCTTCCTTTTCCCGACCCCACCGGCTGCTAGCACACGACTGTTATCCATTGCAGCGTCTAGATTGGGGGCTGAAAAAATAACAAAGGAAACTGTTAGTACCGAGCGGTCTTATCACGTGGGAAACAAAGAAAATTGGAACGTTTCTCGCACGGGAAGGACCACCCGGCCCATGGTACTTGGTTCTTAAACAAGTAGACCCAAGAGAGTGGGCAGTACCTATCCCGGCCTTGATTAGTCGATCGGGGGTCAGATATCCTATGATATCACAAGATTTATCCTTCTGTATTGCGAAGACATCCTTGCAAATTTGTTCGGTAAGAAGCGGATCGGGAGTTTTACGGGGAAATGCATTCCACTTGTTCGGAATCAGGCCGTCCGGGATGGAGACAAAAAAGAACCGGTCTTTCCACACCTTGATCGAGGTAGGATTACCCTTAAATAAAATATGACCCGTTCGGACAGTTGCAGCCAGGTAACCATGTGTCTGCTGGGGAGCCACCTTAAAAAATTGATGGAACAACTCTAGGGTGTGAGTAACATCGGCATCTTTACAACGGCAAATGAAACCCGCTATCACCCGATAAGAGTTCGGCATAACTTGAGCCGGTACTATCTCGTAAAAATTGAGGAAGGAAACAAAGAAAGTGGACCACCACCATCCCAGGAAGGTGGCGCATTGGGTGAAGCCCAGCCCGAAGACGAAAATCCACCGGGTCCGCAATTAGGGCTGGAATTTGAGCCCTATTATGAGAGGTCAATTTTTGCCTCCTTTCCCTAATTAGTCTCAAGTCCACCTTATGACGGGAACGTCACCCGAGAGGCCGGCCACCATTGAAACGAGTTCATCACCGGATGTTGTATCGTCGGAATCATCATCAGTAGAAGAGCCAACAGAAGAATCCTCTGCCTCCGCCCTAATCTCCGCCGTCGCTTCATTTGAACCACCAGCATGCACACGGGACTTTTATGACGTCCATAACGGCAGCATCATGGCCATCCCATTGGGAAGCCATTTCCGAATCAGAGGAACGCGATTGAGGACTCATACCCACCAGACCGAAGAAAAGGGAGAAAAATTAAGGGATGAAAAATACCTGAACACGAAAAGCTTGAAGAATGTTTAGAAAGAAGGCAGAGCTAAAGCCCGAAGGATTGATAATTCGAAACCCAGAACTAAAGAACTAAAGGCTAATTTATAGTCTGACAAACGCCGTATCGACGACCTACCAAATAATGACACGTCACCTAGACTATTTGAAACGACACATGTCACACAAGAGATCAAGGGCCAGTAATCATGACGATTATGAGAAAAATGAAACGACAACCGCAAGAAAGGTACTAATCATGGCATGGGGAACCAGCGAACTCTGGATCCCGATCGACATTCGGCAGGTAACTTTTACTTCTCAATGCACTCACTACCGTTCGAGACATCGGAAGTGGGGGACTCGTGTTGGGATATTGGGCCGCAGGCCCAATACCGGATCCAAGGCCCAATCCAGAAGATGAACATGCTCGTGGAAAAATATGTACCAAACGAGGTTCGTGTCAATTAATGTACTTGGGCCAGATCAATAATGGGCCAGATCAATGATGATTCCAGATCAATGTACCGAATGAGGTTCGACTAGATCAATGATGATTCCAGCAGGGTCCACTACCCATTCGGGCAGCGGGTAGCCAACAAGTGGCAAGGAGCATTTATTGCTAAAGTATGACGACAACTAGTGGGAGTATGGGTTTCCAAGTGGCTAGATAAAGCAACCAATCAACATGAAGTACCCCATTGGATTATGGGCCCCGTCTATCGGACTGGATATCTTGGGCTTTGGATCCGGTATTGGGCCTGCGGCCCAATATCCCAACACGAGGCCCATCTGATATCCCACCATTTGATCAAATACGGTCCGGACGTTCTCGGCGCAAAGTTATCCTTTTTTGTTACTGAGCGCGCCCCTTTTTTCCCGTGGCCGGACAAAGTTATCATTTTTTTGTTTTAACTACTCAGTGTTTCTTTTGTTACACACCAACCCAATTTATGGGATCAATCGTACAAGATCAACATAAAATCTCCAAGCCTCATCCACTGGTGTGGGATCTGAGATAAATGGTGAAAACAATTTACAATTGATATATTGACTATATGTTTTACAAATTAAAAATTTCAATTGTGGTGTCTTCTTAATATATTTAAGTTTCGTTTGAATAGTTGTATATTTTAGAATGTTAGATTAGTATAAAAATCTGTCAAACTCAAAGATAGGTTCATTATTAATAAAAGATTTGAATGATAAATTGTGTCGATATTAACACTGGCGGATCTTGCAACTAAATTAAACGTAGGCTGTTCGAAATTACTTTACCATTAAGACGTTACCTAATAGTACAATATATAAATTATTATATTAATTACATACATGTATTTCTATACCTAATTTAAAAAAAATGGGTGTTCACATGAACACCCTTGAACAAAGAAGATCCGCCACTTTTGATATAGGATCCAAATGATTGAAATATAATTATCAATCTAAGACCTAAAATATCATATGTTTTGATTTACTTATTTTTATTAATTTCATTGTTACTATATACAAAAGGAAGTGAAAACCTGACTCATTTCCTGCATAAAGATACAGATCAAAAAGTGGGTCAGATATGGTGGTGCGTTGTCAGATCATTCATCTGATCTGATGAATATACGTAGTATATATCATAGCAAAAAATGTCAGATCTGATATCCCACCATACCCGATCACTTTTTGACCTGTATCTTTAGGAGGGAAAATAAACAAGTTTCCACTTCAATTCCTTTTGTATGTAGAAGCAATGAGATTAATAAAAAAATAAGTAAATTAAAATCTATGATATTTTAGGTCTTAAATTGATAATTTTATGTCATTTGAATCCTATATCGACACAATTTATTTTCTGATCTTTTATTAATAGTGAACCTATCTTTGTTTTTGATAAATTTTATACTAATCTAACATTCTAATACAACTTTTCAAAGGAAACTTGAAGATATTATTAATAAGATGCACAATTGAAATTTGTAATTTCTAGCATATATATATGAATTGTAAATTGTTTTCATTATTTATCCCAACCCCACGCAACTGGATGGGGCTTGGAGATTTTCTATTGATATTGTAGAATTCATTTGATTACTACTTACAAGCAAAAAGGTAAAATTTGTTGGAAAAATTGGGGCGCGCATAATAATAATACCGGTGCTCGGAGCAACCCCAATACGGGTCCGATAGCCCAAATCATAATCGCTGCTCTCATTAAACCCTATTGCAATTCTCTGTATCATATTTCCATAGTCTCTGTCGCCAAGTAATTTATGCGACAAAGTAGAGTCAAGATGAGCAAAGGCAGCGCAGGCGTCGTCAAGGGAGGGAAGAAGAAGGGTGCAAGCTTCGTGATCGACTGCTCCAAGCCAGTCGAAGATAAGATCATGGACATCGCCTCACTCGAGAAGTTCCTCCAGGAGCGCATCAAGGTCGGCGGCAAGGCCGGAGCCCTCGGCGACTCTGTCACCGTCACTCGTGAGAAGACAAAGATCACCGTCACATGTGATACCAATTTTTCCAAGAGGTAGTCTCATTTTTCTCTCTGTATTGAGTTGTGCAAATGCATTGAAGTTGATTTTCGTCTGGTTTAAGAAGTGACTACACAAATAATTTCACAGTTTACAGGTTTGATTAGGTTTAGCAGATTTGTCATTTACATACATTCAATTCAATGTTGTATCTATAGAAGAACCCTAAAAGTTCTGAACGTAAAGATGGATGTCATACCGAGGTCTTGTGTTGTTTACCATGTAGAATTAGTCAATTAGATAACCACTGCAACTTCTATCTCTAAGTTTCTGTCTTTAAGGATATTTATGGTGCCATTACACATGTAGGCAAGTAGCCTATAAATGTGGTGGCTAAAATGTAAAGTTGTATAGTTTTTCTTTCAGGAGTTCACATACTTAGCACTTTGTTTTTTGCTCAAGAGAAATTCAAAGTAGCTTGAAAACACTCGACCCATGTAAGTAGAGGAGAAGTGTGACTGAAACTTATTTTACCTACTTTTTATAAGAATGCACAAAAAGGAACTCTTGACCTTTCTCTCCCACTTACTTTTATAAAATCACTTATATTTTCGAATTCCATTGATCGTGTTTTTCATTATCTCTAACATCAATCACTTCTCAAACGCAATGTAAACACAAATACAATGGAAACACCAACACATGTCTAACTGCTGACTTGATGATGGCTGCTGCAATTTAACAGGTATTTGAAATACTTGACAAAGAAGTACCTAAAGAAGAACAATGTGCGTGACTGGCTCCGTGTCATTTCTTCAAACAAGGATAAGAATGTCTATGAGTTGAGGTATTTCAACATCGCCGAGAATGAAGCTGAAGATGAAGATTAAGTGTGCTAATCCCTACTTTCTTCCATACCTTTTGGATTTTGAACCTTGTACTTTTGAACACTTTAATATTGTTATTGTAGTACTTGTTTTTAAACATCTTCCATTCTCTGAATTAGGTATTTAACATTTTTGTTGTTCTTGATTCATGATTTTTACTTTTCACTTATGATGCAATATTTAAAAGGGAGAAGGCCCAAATAGGACATTAAGGTTAATTACAAAGCTCATAATGGACATTAAACTTTGGACCAAATTAGCACATAAATCACTTATTGGAGTTACATTTGGCCACTCACTAACATTACTTTTAATGGTCCATAGTTAACGATCTTCCATTGTCGTTCATTTCACACTCTTGACTCTGTTATTTTCGCATTATGAACTGAATCTCTGCCTCGCACAGTCGCACCCACCACAGTCGCACCCACCAACACTGTCGGAGTAGGAGGTGAATCTCATGATAGGGTTTCACTGAATCTGACGGAAATGTCGAAAACACCCTTTCACCGCTGGTGGATCTAGTGCAGGGTATTGAAGCTTTCGTCAATTACTTTCCGCCCTTGGCATAAATGTGTTCGGCTGAGTTGTTGTACTAGTAGCATGAAGCAACTGAGATATCATTCTCTGATTACTTTTTTAGTCAGTCAAATCTTTCTGCCAAATACATCCAGGAATTGTTGAAATTCTTCTCTATATACACAGAAAACATGATGACTGTAAGGAATAGTTGTAATTAGATTGGGGTTTTTACATGAATATTACTATTTTAGAGCCGGTTTTCAAAAATATGACCACTTTAAAAAAAGGACAAAAATGTGACCATGAAGGTCATATATTTGGAAAAACATACTTCCGCCAGATTTTTATGTCATTGCTAGATTTTAATGTCACTGATTGTATGTCACTTTTGTTTGTCATTGCTGATTTTCATGTCACTTAGGGATGGACTCGGGTTCGGGCCGGGTCTGGGTCGGGCCTAGGCCCGGGTGGGCCGACGGGTCAGAAATGGTGGACCCGGGACCGGCCCGGGTAACCACCGGGTCCGGTCCGGGTCCGGGCCGGGCCGGGCCCATTATAATTTATTTTTTTTGTTTTCCTCTTCCTAATTAACCCCCCTCCCACCCCCAATCCCCAAACCACCCCAAAATACCCAGCCCAACCCAAAATTTAAAAAAAACTGAAAAAAAAAATAGTTTTTGGGCCGAACCGGGCATGGGCCCGGCCGGGTCGGGCCTTGTTTTGGGTGACCCGAGCCCGGACCGGAAAACCCACGGGCCGGGCCTACCCGGACCGGTCACTGACTGGGCCACCGGGTCGGGCCAGGGCGGAACAGTACCGGTCTCGGGCCGGTTCCGGGTCGGGCCACCCAGCCCGAGTCCATCCCTAATGTCATTTTTATATGTCACTTCCGCCGTCAAACGTGTCACTGCGTCGTTAACCACGTCACTGCCGCCAACGCATGTGTCACTGCCGCCGCCATCGCTCGTGTCACTACTACCTCTGCCGCCTGTCATCGCCGCTGGTCATATTGACAGAACAACTCCACAGTGACTTCTCCACCGCTGAAAACCGTTGGCCACCTCCGCTCACCTCTGTGGGCCACGATTACACCACCACACTACCACAGTGACATCTTTACAGTTACTATTTAGCAGGGACACACAATTACTTCGGCCAGTGTTATTCCGGCAACCACCACAATCCCATTCCCACTGCGTCTCTCCCACACACCGATTACTTCCACTGCCCCTCCCCATCCCAACACCCCAGCAACAGAAATCTCATCCCCAGCCCCAGCCCCAGCCCCCTCTAGCCCCGCCTCCCTAACCTATCCTAGACCAACTCCTAAGCTTCAACTCCGACCAACCAAACCAGATCCAATCCTCCCCAACCCTGCTTCGACCAACCCAACTCAACCCCCGATCTACACCTCCGCATCCTCGATCAACCGAACCGCATTTCCGCTGCTTAAAAGTCCCAACTCCTGCTGCAAATCCATTACACCAAGCCGCCGCCACCGTAGCCAAACTCTAGGCTAAAAGAATAAGGCTCAGGGATTCAACGATTTTAGGCGCACCTAGCCGCAAATCTGTCACACCAAGCTGCTGCCACCGTAGCCAAACGAAAATCAGCACACGAAGGACGACGACAAGCGCGGAGCAAAGAAGCGGAGCCGAGAAGTGGAGGCAGATGGAGGCCGCCATAGGAGTCGATTGTCAACTGTGAGATTGGGTGATGGAGGAGCGATGGAGTAGCGAGGCTGCGATTGATGGTTCCCAGGAGCGTATGTGGACGGGAAAGAAGCGCAGTTCTTGATGCGGAAGAATAGTGTAGATATATGGTCATGTTTTTGGAAAGTTAAAAACCGCTAATATTTTTGTCTATTAAAACCTTATACGTAATATTTGTGTCATTTATTCAATTAGATTTTGATGATGCTAGGTCAATTAGAATGATAAAGTACCCCATTAAAATTTTTGTATTAGAATTTTTTTTCTAAGTGTAATTTAGTATCATATTCGACGGGACAGAGAACCTCAGGATCTCTGTTTGACCAGAGAAGCAACAAAGATAGAAGGTCAGATATCAACACAGTTGCCCTCTACTGCCTCTACCAGAAGTGCTCAACACTTGGAAGAATTCGAAGTAACTTCCAACGGTCTTGAAACTAACGGGAAATACCCCAAAGGCTAGAAGATCTTCGACGGAACATGGCACTGTTCACGCATTAAATGCTCAATTAATGCGGTACGTACGAAGAGATATTTAAAGCTGATGATTGACCATGCGGATATGTTTTCACCCCCAAAATAGCAAGTCGAAGAACCAACTGGTCAAATCAACAGCACAAGCAATTAATGAAGCTATCTTCTACACTCCAACGGGAAGTCAGCTCCCAGTATATATGATACACTTCGAAGAACTACATGATAACTTTTGCTCAACTTTTGCTCTCTATAACCTTCAAGCTTTCTTGAGATAAACATCTTCATCTTCCTCAACAAGAAAAGCTTAAGTTGTAAAGATATTATTCTCACATCCCTTCTTCCAACAAGAGCAAAGTTCACCCAGTTCTTCAATACTTCTAAAGCCTCAACTAAATATCCTTTGTGACGAAGCTACGTTGGAGAAAACTGATTTTTAATCAAAACACTTCTTGCAAAAGAAGAGACGTCTCAAACTAGCTGGAGTAGTGAAGTGGGGATACTGCAAGAGACTCAGTGAAACGAGACCAGTCATCAGGAAGCCAGGAAGAGCATCCTGGCTGACAACTAGGCTTGAAGAAGACGAGGAGTGCTGAGTGGAGAGCGACTTCTGTAATATGAGACCAGAAGAAGATTAAGGGACGACATGCATGAATCTATTGGTCCCAACATAGAGACTTTCGTACCTGAAAAAGATTGTCAGATCTACAAGATTGGAGAATTATTCATGCGACCAAACTTATTCAGCCCCAAAAACATGTTATTCCCCCAAAAAGAAATCAAATTTCCTTTTTTCACAAGAATGGAGAAGTTTAACAAAAAATTTTGAAATAATGGCCTAAATATTACTACTAGAGTTTCAGTAGACAAAAATATGACTGGTTTCCATTATGACAAAAAAGTGACAATAAATAATTGGGCCGCCCCGTCCATTTAGCTTCTCCTAGACGCTGCTTCTCTCTCCTTCAAGGTCGATGACACCCGCATCTCTCAACTGCACGCTGAACTCGTTGCCGCCGAACTCACCAGCCACCATCTTCAACCTCATCTCTGACCACCATAGCAGTCGTCGGTGCCCCACTTGTCGCCCTCTCCTATTCCACGCCGGATTTGCTACTTCTTCTATTTCTGTCCGGTGGAGAGGCGGATGGGGGTCCAACAAGCTTCGCCGCCATCGATGTCGTTCACGCTCAATGCTATAAGCTTCTGCCGCCCAACCTACGCCGCCACTTGCAGTCTCCATCTCCATCGCGCCTAAAATCAACTCCTCTAATTTCTTTTTTCTTTTTTCTGGTTTCTCGCTAAAAAAACCTCCCATGTTTCACCGTTGTGGTATTGAAAGGCTTCACAAAGAATAAAATTGATTTTCTGATTCGAAAACGAGATTAATTCTGCACTTCGATTCGAATATGCACCGGCAGATCGACAATATGGATTCTGTGTCTGGATCGGAAGTGATGGGAACTATTATCCCTCCATTCTCTTTACCAAACATTTAACTAATAGTGGGTTAAATTTTGTTTATTGCAACTACACGATTGACTTTGCAGTTAACATTGATCGGTGGAGGGTTAGGGGTGGAGATGGTCATCGGTGGAGGTATTGATTTTGCTGCTATGACAAATGATGGAGGGCTGGAGAGGGGGCAGGGCAGGAGGCTATCGCTGGGGGCGTGGGTCTGTGCAAGGCAGCAGGGGCTGGGGAAGGGCTAGGAAGGGGGATGCCCGGGAAGGTGGGGGTGGGTGGGTGGGTGGCTTGGGGACTGGCGGCTGAGGGACGGTGGTTGCAATGGTGTCACTGTGACCGGAATGTTGCCGGCGTAATTGTAGTTGGTGTCACTATGGTCGGCAGCGGTGGGGCGACGGTTTTGGAGCGGAAATTATGGAAGTTGTCTAACAATTTGACCGGAAAAGTTACCGGAAAAGTTTTCTGGTGGCACAGTGATACGTTTCACGCACGGGGACAGTGCCATCTCAAAGTAACATGAAAAACGGTAGTGACAAATCATAGTGACACGAAAAAAGTAAAGTAACATGAAAAATGTGGTCGGTGGGGGCCCGGGTGGTGTGATGTTTCACCGGAAAAGGTTGCCGGAAAATTTTCTGACGGATATAGTGACTTTCAAAAGTAGCACAAAAATCTAATAGTGACATACAATGGTGACATAAAAATCTGGCAGTGATATAAAAACAGTGACGTAATGTTTTTCCATATACGTGACCTTCTTAGTCACATTTTTGTTCATTTATGAAAATGATCACTTTTTTGGAGATTAGCTTCAATTAGGTAATATTCAAGGAAAAAGCTCAAGGATTTCCTTTCGATCCTTCCCTTCATTTGCGTCATACAATCTGCACCAAGGCAGAGGATCAACTTCCACTTCCATTTTTGAAGGACCTGGAATTGCACCCGGGTTAGATGATTCAGGTACATCTTAGAAATTTAAATCAGGAAAAACTCTCAGTTCCCTATTTGAGATAAAGCTTCAACAGATGAAATGTATGTTGCAGCAAACCGCCGGA